TTTATATCCGTAAATTTTTTATCAAAAAGAATTGAGTGCCGTGAAAAATAAAAATAGTTGTATCTACAATATTTTAACATTCTTCTTAGTCATTATGTTTCTTAATAGATTTTGTAAATATCCGTCTTTCTCACCTTTAATTTAATCTGTCTAAGTTATTGTTCAGCAAAAATGCTCGAGGAAAAAAAAAGGAAAAATATAATATAACCGTATTTAATAGGAAACCATCACAACTAATAAACTCAAATTCCATCATAATTCTATTGATTAAAATGAACCCGAATTGACCTGTAAAGTAAAATCATAAAGCCGTGTTAACAAATGGAAGAATACGTAAGTAAATTTTTCAAAGAGATATAGATGAAGTTAACTTTCAAATCACCTTATCTTTCAAATTTGCCAACCATTGTTGATAGCTCATCACCGTATCTGTGCGATCCTCTATGATGTGCGACATAAACCATAGCCGCAGTGATTGGTCGCCATCCTCTTTTACTATATAAATATGAGGATAATAGACCCCTCGTCTCAATTCACGGGTCTTACCAATAATTGCATTTATCCGTTGTGAGAATGGATTATCAAGTTGTGGTAGAGTGGCCTTCATGGAAATGCCAAATAATGAACATTTAGCACAATTTGATTAAGTAGTTAAACAATTGATTTATATAAATAAATTAATGAAAGTCACCTTGCCTGAACGCACTTCCTCATACGAATTGGCATTCAGTAAGTCCGCACATAGTTGAGGAGACACTTGCCTGCCGATCCAAATAAAGATATTTTGACCATCTTCCAGCAGATATGCACCATTTCGCTCAAATTTTTCACTGCTCAGATTCATAGGCTGAGGCATAATAATACCTTCTGGTCCATATAACCCAACCTTGTTGAAATAAAAAAAAAAAAACATGCATAATATCAATTAATGACGAAAGAATCGATAGAATGTTTGCATTGAAAATCTTTAACAGCTTGAACTCGCTAAATCGAATAATACAATGATGTCAAACATAATTGATATTTAAAGTATGTTCTTGGGAAACGCAAAGACAAAATTTCTTACTTCTTGTGGCATATTATGGAGGGAGTAGAACCGTGGATGTAGATATGGAATTAATAGCTGCGATGGCATCGTTGTCAATAAACACATCGCGTATGACCGTAAGTCTGTTGGAATTTGTGAACTCTCGCGAAGGCCAACCTACGAAAGTTTTTAAAATAATTAGTTATTTTCTTTTTGAGCAGTTAATAGAAAATCTAATACTTGATCATAAACACACATGCTTCAGTAACGCAAGAGATAATAAGGGAAGCAACTTGAGATTATTACAGATTTGTAGTTGAGGCGAAGCTCCAACTTGACTACCAAGGACGCCCGACTTGTAAGCTCCTAAGATGTCCACCATTTTGTTTGACAGCGCATCGCGGGCATCTTCTAATTTTGAAGATAGTGATCGCTCTACCGCTTTACATAGAAAATAATATTAATTGACAATATCATATGTGAGAAAATTATGAACTTTGTGGTTTACCTTTATTTGCCAGTAGGGTCGTTATAGCTAATTGATCGGCTGATGCAAATAGTTCATTCAAGTTATTAGTCACTGGCAATGCTAGTGTCAATACGCGAATCCTACGTTCACCTATCAATACAAAAGAAAAAATTACCGATTAACAACACGAACATGTCTGAATCAAACTGAATAGTAAGAAGCTTACCGAAGCATGTTGTGTGCAAAAGGGCGGTCTGGAAACACACAGTCGGAGTCGTTATATTTTCCTCTATACTAACTTCGATAGTATATGAATGATCCCTCGGCACATTAGGTAAAGCAAGCAAATCCGTTTGGCGAACAAAGAAGTTTCCATGGAATGAAGTCATCCGAATACCTAATTTAAAAGTTTTGATTATTAAAGCTTCCATGCATTATGATATCTTATAAGTTTTACATGTGTAGATTGCTTTACCCTTTGAAGCCCGAACACGCATTACTGCCTCCAATGCAATAGGACTAGCCAAGAATTCTGCGAATTCATGTGCAAACTTAAGCGCATCCTCTGATCTTCCTGCATTGAATGCAGGATAGAAATAGGTATTTCCTCCCGTGTAACGTGGACAACAACCTTTAAAATTAGAAAAGAAATCAGCATATTTTTTTTCATTCAATAGAGTAAGCTGCTTCATTTCGTACTTAGCGTTGCAACGTCGGAATATTGTGAACCGAGTAGGAACATGTCTACACAAACTTGCGACCGTGAACAGTCTACTGCAAATTTCTTGTAAAAAGGATCAGCAGATTGAAGCAAAGATGATTCCTGTATGTGCAATAATAGCAATATTTTTTAATACCAAGAAACCATATTTTAAGCAACCGTAAAATTATTCGTATGTGAACAGATATCTTACTTTTGCAGTACCCAAAGCCTTTGGATCTTCTCGAGGTTTCAGTGCACCGGGATTATTGTTTGGTAAACTTGATAAAATCGCCACAATCTTACCCCCGATTGAAGACTAAACAAACGGTATGTACGAAACAACAATTTTAAATAATATTATATAAAAATCGTACAAATAAAAAGATTATGACTTATTTTTAAAAAAATTTCTTGATACCAACAATCAGTTTGAAACCAGCCAATAAAGCGGATCCTAGAGAGTTTCCGACTGTCTGTGTGTCCTTGAACATATCCCCAAGGCGACTAAGCAGTGATTCAATTACACTCCGAGCTTCTGTGAGATTTACTAACAAATCATCCGGTTGTGGGAGAAATACATCCTCAAGATCAGAGACAACTAACATTTGAGGTTCTGAGGCATTTGACTATCGGCAGAGATGTGCATGAATTTTGCGATTAATAAAAACAACATTTACGATTAACTATAAAAGATGAGATTGACCAAATAGATAACGTACATTCAGACTGTAAAAGTGTAACGATGTGTCAAAGGTAATAAATCCAATTTTCGTTCTCTTGTCTTCATTGGGTATACGATCCAATGACTCCAAAATAGTTTTTGCTGCAGTGGCCACGGCACCTTTTCAATTGTAACAAAAAATTTACCAAGATACGAAATTGATTGAGAAATTAACTTAAACATAAGTACGATCAGTAAATTGCTTTGCAAACAATGTATGTTCTCAAAGGTTCGATGGCTTTCGTATAATATATTGTTGTATAAACATAAAAGAACGTAAATTAGACTCTTACCAGATTGTACAGCAGGGAAAGAAACGTCAATAACAATCAAATATACTGGTGGTTGAGGTGGTCGAACCTTTAAATGAAGCAAAAAAAAATTTTTTAATACGAGCAGTTCTTTCTAAGATAACAATTCTCACTTTACCATGTACTCTGTAGGTGCGACAAATTCAACGACGGCATGATTTAATTCTGCACGTTTCCATCTGTCTGTCTGTTGATTAGTCTGCAAATCCCAATCAAACTGCGCGGGTACTGTTGTA